GACAACAGTCAGGAACCTTATGTTCAGTGGTTGTCGTTTGTTGATGTGGTTCATAAGTGTTTCTCGTTTCTCGTTTTTTATATAGATTAGACCGTTGGTTTTCCTGTTTGAATGGTTTTACACTTGTCAGTTTGGGTGTCCTTTTTAGCTTGCTGTTCGGTGTGGGCCAAGGCTCCGTGTTGAAGGCCGTACTTTGACCTATAATGGTTTACTTTTACAAATTGTGACTTGGATGGAGAGTTGTCTCATTGGCACTCATACCACATCTTCTTATATCTATACCTTTTCCCTTTGTCGTAGATTCTTTTCCCTGTTCCCGAAAAATGACCTTCGTGTGTCTTGCAAGAAGCGAGAACTGTTTACCCTTCCCCTTTTCAGGACATAGCTTTGGTTTTTTCTACTCTTTTCTATTTTTTTCCATGCATAATGGTTTTTAAATTTCATCTCTGACCATATATAGGGGAGGTTTTAGATCCAATTATACTAGTAAAACCCCACCGCATGTTTTATGCGCCTGAAACAATTCCAGAACAAGTTGTTCATTGCAATTGGTAAGTTTTTGTCACAATAGAATTTTTAGTTTACAATTTGATATTTTGACATTATGCTTCGCTCTCATATTCATTTCCTTTTTATTCGATCAAAGATAGTAACTTTGTTTCCTTTTTTATGCCCCACCTAGGGGCATTATGTTTTTCGGTCTGTGCGTCCGTTCGTCCTTCCTTCCGTTCGTCCGTCCGTTCGTCCGTCTGTCCCGCTTCAGGTCAAAGTTTTTGGTCAAGGTAGTTTTTGATGAAGTTGAAGTCCAATCAACATGAAACTTAGTACACATCTTTCTAATTTTAATGCCAAATCAGAGTTTTGACCCTAATTTTACGGTCCACTGAACATAGAAAATGATAGTGCGAGTGAGGCATCCGTGTACTATGGACACATTCTTGTCTTTTTCTTTTTTTTGGGGGGGGGGGGGTCGGGGGTGGGGGTTGAGATTGGGGTCTTTAACCAAAATGCAGACTATGTGGTAACTCTGAATGTCTGTTTTATATCTTGCATTCTGTGATTTTTTTTCCTACTGCTGAAGTCATAAAAATAGCAAGAGATCGCAAAAAATAGCTAACGATTTGATTCTGATTCTGAATCAGAAGAGACACCAAGGGCCTTTAAAAATCTGGTATCTATTTTGTTATGAATTTATTGTACTCCGGCTGATTCTCGCGAATGAGGTCCATTTGTGGGATCTTTTTTGCTTTAAGTTTGTTTTGGTCGTACAACATTAGGGCGAGGCAATTCATCAGCTTCCTCCTCTCTCTGGTCAGCTACGGCATCTGGTTGCCGGGGAGCAGATCCAGCAACGGCACAGTAAACCGGATTTAAAGAGAAATAGTCGAAATTTAAATTGCATTGTCGCTGAATATCGATTTCAAGTGGAACATCAAATTGGTGAATTAAAAAGAAATAAAGTAATGAGTACCATTAAGGCATTCGAAGTCAAAATTAACAGACATTGTAGAAATATGTAACGCCCTAGTCAACAGATATAAAACATTTAACTAAACATCTACTACAAAAATACAGTTTTTTTGGGGTTTTTTTTTCATTTTTCAACTCGCTCGACGTCTAAAAGAAATGAAACATTGAATAACTTCCTTTTCTTCATTGAGTTAAATTCAGATAATCAAATACCTAATAAACAAAATAAGGTACGGTACACAACAATTGCTTATATTCACGTCATGTTGGATAGTGGTCTCATTGGCAATCAAAATAATCATATGCGATCAATAATATTTTTTTTCAATATTATTTTTGGGACGACCCCTCATATCTCACCTGTCGTAGTCGTTTTCAACTGTAGGTGTAGACAATTGTTGAAAAGGTGTATTAAGTCCATGCCGAGAAGTCGTTTGACTGTGCATGCTGTATAAATACGCAGCCGGGAGACTGGTATGGCCATTAAATGTAATGCTGTACTCATCACCAGGAAAAACTCTGTTAAATCAAAACTATTATTGTTAAACTAATACAAATTTTGATAAACTGTTATATTCAATTGAATTTGTATATAAACTTATGCTTGCTCTGTGATAGACTAGACCGGCTTAAATAAACTGTTGTTACAACTACCTTGTCTTGTCACATTTCCACTTTGAAGAACTTATTTTATTTGTTGTTCAATCATAAAGTTTTTGCCCTAAGTGTGAATGAAATATGTTTCACAGAACTGTAAAAACGACCAAACGATAACTGCAAAGAACGTTATTGAAAAAACTCAGGACTTCTTTTAAACTGAGTTTCACTGTGTGTATTGCTGTGTGTTTGCTTATTCTACATTGGCTAGAGGTATAGGAGAGGGTTGAGATCTCATAAAACATGTTTAACCCCGCCGCATTTTTGCGCCTGTCCCAAGTCAGGAGCCTCTGGCCTTTGTTAGTCTTGTATGTTTTTTTTAATTTTAGTTCATTTATATGTTTTGGAGTTTAGTGTGACGTCCATTTTCATTGAACTAGTACACATTTTTATTTAGGGGCCAGCTGAAGCCCGCCTCCAGGTGCGGGATTTCTCGTTGTGTTGAAGACCCATTGGTGGTCATCGGCTATTTTCTGCTCTTTGGTCGGGTTGTTGTCTCTTAGACACATCCCCCATTTCCATTCTCAATTCTATGTATAGTGCATGTATGATTTACATACGATATTGAAAAAACACGATAAATATCGGTTAAAAAATAAGTGCTTTGATATACCGCAGGTCATGAATAGTTGTGTGTAATTACGTCAGCAATAAAAAAAAAAGTCAGGAAAACAACGGGATAAATGTTATATTCATGGCTGTGAACATTAGACAACAGAATGTTAAAACACTTGTTATCAGCTCAGTAGTCAGTGGTTCGCTACTAACTTGATTCATAGCATAACGTTCTTACATTTTCCGTTAATAAAAATTAAGTAATTTAGAAATTATCAAGAAACTTAGGTTCCGAATCCCTCAAGCAAATTTGACCTTAAATGGACTGGCTATTTTTGTAGTTTCCAATTTAGTCTCATGTCTCTTCGCGTGTTCAGGGGTTTATATATCATTGAACTGTATTCTACAGACGATAGATCCAGAAAAGCGCTCTGGACGAAGCAAATTAACATACTAGTAGTGTTATTTTCATTTTACAGAACAAATGAAGATAGGATGCTTGGGGGAAAATCGTTTTTTTATCAAATGCCTTAAATAGGCCGTCATGAATTATTAGGATTCTGCCAAGAGACATACTGCCAAACACCATATCTATAACAATTCTACAACTCGGCTACGTAATTTGATCCCAAGTGGTAAGTTGTCTCATCGGCAATAATATCACATGTCCTTATTTAAGAACTACATAATGTATCTACACGTAATTTTTTTTTATGTATTTCCAGGGACAACTGGCAACAACTTGAGGCTGCTTTAAGACCAAAGATAAAACGAGTTCTGACCTGCGATGTATTCAAACAAAATCCTCTCGATCCAATTCAATTAGATCCAGTTGATGTCATCTGCACCAGTGCGTGTTTGGAATCAGCCTGTCCAGATAAAGATGCATACCACAATGCGATGAAAAATGTAGTATCTTTGTTGAAACCGGGCGGAAAACTCATTCTGATCGGAATTCTCAATTGTCCTCATTATGTTGTTGGGAGTGAAATTTTTCAGTGTTTGTCCATCTCCAGGGACGAAGTTATCAACACAGTTAAAGCGAATGGTTTAGATGTAATTGAATTATTTGATGACGATACTTCGGTAGAAGAGGGCACGGCAATATTTAACGGAACAGTTATTATACTTGCTGAGAAAAAATGACTGGTGTTGGTGTTCAATCGCTTTAGTTCATTGACTAAAATCTCGAAATGACTTTTTTGTTTTGATATTTTTCTTCAGCGAGATGCCACTATATATAGTATTTGTTTAAGTCAATTAGGACTAGTTTTATATTAATTTACAATCTAAAATTTTTATTGATGAGACTTGTTTTTAATAGACCAAGATTGAATGTTCTATTTTAAGATCCCGATAATACTGTCAACTTAGAAGCCAGTCCTTCGGTACTGTCATGTTTTTTAATGATACATTTTATTATACCCCGCTTTAAAGAGGGATTTTATTAGTCACACAGTGTACTAGTGTCCTAATATGATTTATACGGTGTCAATAAATTTCATATGGGGAGAGAGCGAAGCGAATCTCTAGCCCCATATAGAATTTACTGACATCATATATACATATCGTATTAGATCACAAGCACATTGTGTTACGAATTTATCTTACCGACTATCTTTATATTTGGAATTTAGATGTAGTTTTAACAAAATTGATAAATATTTGTTACTTCTGTTACTGTTATAGTAATCAATGTGAGTCATTAAATCAATATTTGGTGACTGGTGGACTAATAGTGACCAAGTCTTCTATTTGTTGAAACAAACTTGCACTGGTCTTTACAAAAACAAAAGCCAATAATAACAATATAATTCTGCAAAACAACATGCATCATATTTTGATAACAAGTTACATGACAAGATTTCAATACTATGTTGTTTTTTTTAAAGGGCCGTAACTCTACTACTAACCGTATATTTAAAATATAACACGCCCACTGACCGTGTTTGAAATATACACGGTTTCAAGGTGTTCACTTTTAACCAATGATATATATAGAAGTCTACAGCTAGAAGGTAATATAAATTGTGATACACATGTCCGTCTGTCCGTCCATCCGTTACAAGTTTAGTTTCTGGATGATAATTACAATACCTCTTGCTCAAATCGTTTGAAATGTAAACACAATGTCAAGGGCCATAAAATACAGGTGAAATTTGATTTTGAGTGTGTGGGATGAACTGTTTAAGAATTTTGCTCCTTACTTGTTCAACTTACCATAAAAATTGAGTTTCTTAAGTTTCCAGATGAAAATAATAGTACCGCTTCACAATATCCTGTCCTCTTTTCCACGATTATGAAATTCCCGACTGAGCTCATTACCGATGTTGTACTTACCTTGAGCAACGCGACGGGTGCAACTAGTCAGGGAGTAGGATCTGCTTAGAATTCCGTAACACCGGAGATCACCCCAGTTTTTGGTGGGGTTCGTTTTGCTCAGTCTTTAGTTTTCAAGGTAGTTTCTTTTTTACTTGTAAGCCTTTGTCGGTGCACTAATACTCGCGAGGCTTTAAAAATTTAGAAAATAGAAAAAAGTGTTAAAATTTAAAAATTAAATGTGATAATATTCGCTGGTGTGTACGTATATAAATAAAAACTTTCAAGATCAGAGGAATAAAATTGGGAAAAATATAAACTACATATAATAACATGAACACGGGTGAAACGATCTGGATAATTTTTCGAACTATATTTTTTTTTCCTTATTTGATATTGATTGTAGCATTAAACATTTAAACATAACCGCATCACCGTATTGATTATTGCATGTTTTATGTTAACATTATCAATTATCCATAGTACTTGCTTGAAAAACAAGCTCACTGGTATGGCCACAACACCTCAACTTCGTACAGGTGAAGATTACAAGACGATTTTTGATGGAAAGATTTATGCAGATACACTGTTCAATCAAATTGAAGTCGAGGGATTTACTTTCACAGAGTTTAGACTTAAAACATTACACAAAATATTTTCAAAAGGTAAGGTATGTTTATTTATAGAAACAAGGTAAATGATTTTATCGATACAAAAATTACCTGTCGAACTATATTTACACTAATATAGTGAAAGTAAAAACTGAGATTAGCATGTTTTTTCATCGTTAAATCGTTATATTGATTAAATTAATCAAAACTCTCCTAGTATGTTTACTGATTTTTTAGGTACCATTAAAGGAAAATGTCTCCTAGATATTGGATCTGGACCGTGTATACACACAGTTATACCGGCAGCAAAATGGTTTGATGAAATAATTATGACAGACTATGCCCCTTCTAATAGAGACATGCAAGAAAAATGGTTGAAAAAAGAATCAGGCGCACATAATTGGGACATGTATTTCAAATACTACAGTAAACTAGACGGAAATGAGTAAGTCGATAGTTAAAATAATACATTTCAAACCTTTTTCTTCTACTTATGATTTTTCATTTTCCCTTTGGTATCTTCCGCGGCTTTTTTTAAACTAGTTAGATTTTGGGCATACGCTAATGAAACAATGTACTTATAAATGCTGCCTGTTTCTGAAAGAAAAAGATTTTTTTCCGGAAAAATCCGATTATATTTATTTCGTTAAACATATAAACACATTCCTAATATGATGAAAAAGATAAATATGCTAAATATACTTACTTGTAATGTGATGAGATGATTAAAACTGTTAATTTCCTTTTTGACTACATCAATATGAAAATAAGAAATGTAAGGCGAAAGATACCAAAAGAACATTCATAAGTCGAAAACAAACTGACAATGCAAATAAACGAAAAGACAAACAACGGTACATAAAACCCAACAAAGGAACTAAAGACTGAGCAACACGAACCCAACCAAAAACCGGGGGTCATCTCAGATTCTCCGTAAGGGTTAGCAGATCCTGCTCCAAATGTAGCAGTAAACGAAAATGTGGTATGATTGCCAATGAGACAACTATCCATCAAAGTACTAAATAAAGTAGATTTAAGTATTTATAGCTAACCGTACGGCCGTCAACAGTGAGCAAAATCCATACAGCATAGAAAGCTATAAAAGGTAACATGAAATATGTAAAACAATTCAAACGTGAAATTAAAAAAAAAAACAGCTTGACTTATGTACAAAACTATCTAAATTTACGGGCCCTATTAAAGACATTACAGTAAAAATGAGGATTTGATATCCCGTTTTTAAAAACTTTTCTACATGTCCAGCCAAATTTCTAAACCGTGTCTTTGTATCTACGCGCGAATTTAGTAAAGGTTTTTAAGTAATTTGTAAGAGCGAAATCCCTGACTTAATAATTTACCAGTTATACATAGATTGAGGCTTCAAGCTTTAAAAGGTTTTAACTCTATAATTTCACTACAGACATGGGTATAGTAAACGAGTTGGGATAAATAAAAACCGTAACATGGAGCTAAAGGAATGTCACCATTTAAAAAAGATAAATTATTGACAAGGAACGAAAAATCGTCCCTTTTGTCGAAGAGTTTTGTATAGAGTTTCCATGTGAAACTGAAATTTCTAAATCGAGGAATGGACAGATAGTTCTTTGATATCATATTTGTTTTATGTAAGTGTGGTGGTAAATTTCGGCAGTATATACAAAGAAAATTCTTGATTATTTAATGCAAAAATATCCTTAAGATAACGGAAAGTGTTTTTGAATTTATTAGTTAAACGAAATTTAGACTGATCTTTATTGAGTTTGACCATAAATTAACCGACAGTAGTTTACCGATGTTCAAACTGTAAATCGATTAGGAAGATACAAATCAAGGAAACAAACATATACCGAGGGTATTGCATGAACTTCAAAAGTAACGAGAACGGGTGGGTCGATAGAGTAAGGGTCGCCCGATATGCAAGCATCACCGCGCCGTTCGAATTCACACTTAACAATTATTCATTATGATGCAGGAACAAGTCTGCTATTAAAGGGGCACACTTGGTGCCCATAGGAATACATACAACCTGTTGATGACTTTTTTGCCAAAACGTACATAGATGGTGTCAAGTAGAAAATTCACAGCTTTAATCATCTCGTCATACTTGCAGTAAGCTTATCTAACATTTTTATCCTTTTTATTAGGAAGAAGGCTTTATATACGTTGCAGCAAATAAATGTGAAATCATAGTTTTCAAATGACCATTTAATTAATAACTAAAATAAATAAATAATCTAGAATTGTCTTAGTATACTGTTGACATTTACCCCCAGAGATCTGACTTTTGATAAATCTAAGATGAACACAAATAGTCATATTTGTTTTTTATTCATTTGTACAAATACTAAAATTAACCTCAAAAGAGATAATTTTTTTTAATCCCAGTGGTTATTTTTTCCTTTTTAGACGGTGATGTTCCTTTGGCCCCTTCTTACGCTGTGAATATTTTCAAACTCGTTAGATATACCCGTGTTTATATTGACGTTTCAGAGTTCAATGAACGAATTATATGTGTAATAACATTTACAATCCCAATTTTTACGGTTATTTTGTTTAAGTTTATTAAACTTGTTCCTAAAGTTTGTCAATTTAACAATATAGTAAGATCTTTAAAGATTATCGGTATTAACATTAACTTTATTCGAAATAGTTTAATACATACCGATTCACGATTTGCTATCCAATAATTAGCACTCATGGTATTTCATCCTGTCGATTACTATACTTTTGCATAACACCAGGTAATGCTTTTCTCAGACTGCTAATAACGTCTTTACCCATAATCCGTTGGAGATGTGCTGATATTTCAATTTAGAAAAAAACATGGTTTGTTTATTAATCAATAACTATCTTTCAGTAACTGATAGTTATTCTAAGATCGGTGCTTTATGTATTTTTTGTATCAGATATTTTTTGTGTGCTTTGTGTCGATCTACTAAGTCCAGCTCTTTCCAAATGATTTTGGCTGATTGCTCTTATGTTGTGGTGTTATACCACTGTCTTCGTTTATGGGAGAATAGAGTGCTTACAACATAGTTAACCCCGTCAGGAGCATATAACCACGTGACTGTTGATGGTTATTGTTTGTTCTTACTGTTTTTGTTTACTGGTATTGTATAAATCAGGTCGTGGGTTGTCTCTTTTCAATTGATTGACGTTTTTTTGTCATGCCTTTTAAAACTTACTATATTGTGTGGATTTTTCTCATTGTTGAAAGTCTTACGGTAACCTGAAATTGTTCACATGCTGCCTTTGGTCCTTAATTGATAGTTGTCTGATTGGCAATCATATCACATTTCCATATTTTTATATCAGATATACAAAAAAAAATATGAGAATAACTAGGATGCGAACAAATATAGCTGTAATGATCTGCGTGCTGTCGTAATTTATTGGATAGTTTTCTTTTATAGGATGTATATTTATATCTCTTATGTACACAAACTATCTTGAACAATAAAAAAGCGCTTTCAAGTAAAGCTAAACTTTTCTGGACAAAACAATTTTAGTGGATAGAGGTTTGGTTTTAAACGTCAAATAAGCATAAAAACAATCACACAGGGAATTATGATCGATTTCAATTTAAAAGCTGTAAAAGATTTCTATTTTGATATTTTAGAAACAACTGGCAACAACTAGAGGCTGCTTTAAGACCAAAGATTAAGAGAGTCTTTGCATGTGATGTATTTTTACCAAATCCCCTAGATCCAATCCAGTTAGATCAAGTTGATGTCATTTGTACTAGTGCTTGTCTGGAATCAGCCAGTTCAGATAAGGAAAAGTATGATATTGCAATGAAAAATGTAGTATCTTTATTGAAGCCAGGAGGCAAATTGATTCTGATCGGAATCCTGAACTGTACCCATTATAGCGTTGGAAGTGAAAGGTTTCAATGCGTGTCCTTGACGAAAGATGATGTTGTAAACACCGTCAAAAAGAATGATTTAAAAATTATTGAAATCTTTGATGATGATAGTTCATTTGATGGGGATGCTGCACCATTCAACGGTTCTGTTATTATACTTGCTGAGAAAAAACAAACCTAGATCGTTCATGCCTATATTGCTGAGGTTTATTTTTCAAAGAGACTTTCTACTTATTGTGCATACAACTGTTTTCAAATATATACCAGTTCTATAGTTGAAATATATGTTGTCCGTCCATTTATTTGTGTAACATACTTTGTTATTCTTAAACAAAAAACTTATCACGGTGTAAAGGATGACTGACCTACATAGAAAACCTTAAAAAAATTTAAATTAAAATCAGAATACACTAAATATTCCATTGCACATATTAGAGTTCTATTGCCAATGCTCATATTACCGTCATTGAACTCGTTTTCATTTTTTGGCATATAACATATGTTAACATGTGTTAGCAGCGTTATTACTAAAATTTGAGTGTTGAAAAGACACTTTTGTGTCTTGTAAGCTTCATTCTTTTGAGAACCAATTTGTTATGAAAATTGTGATTTCTGTACTGTATAAATGACATTATTACGTACTTAGGTTCAGCAAAAAGCTTAGTATTTAATATTTTTTTGTAAGTGTGTGTGTGAATAGATATTAGGTGCAGCCATGACAAGGTTTTTTTTTAAATAATGCACTCAAGCAAAATAATAATAATAATAATAACAGATTTTTCGACGACAGATTATTTTCTGATAACATAATCAACGGGGACTTATTTTTTTAAAAAGTCTAAACCATAAGACTTCCTAACCTTGATATAACTTGAGTTGTCTCTCTTGTCACACATAACATTTCCAAATTGTCCACTTATTACCAGTTCTGTCATATTCCAGGTTTTACTACTTGATACTGAATATGACAGTACCATCCGTACGACAGGAAAGTATTGCCTAGCAGGAGATGTTTACCGTGTTGAAACATCTTGTCGTTCTTTTTTTTCGATTTTTCAAACCCATGTCTTTAAAAAATATTAATTTTCAGCAACCAGTCTCCATTTCTTAACCGATGTAGAACAGTAATTTTTTGCGTATGAACAGTTTTAGAATGCGTTTCTTCATATTTCAAAATGAGTAGATCAAGGGCGATCTATAGCTCTATTGCACACCGTCAAAATTATCTTTATTGTTGATTTATCAATTAATTCAAACGCACAGTTTTCCATATAATTATATCCTTTCTGGAAATATGGTGCACCGCCAAGAAACGAATAATTTTAGAGAAACTTTCTAATAGCAATATTTACTTAATCATACACATTGATAAGTTGTTTTTTGGTGCGGACAAATGTTTCAATCCAAAATATATTCAAACGTTGATTCAAAACAAGATAAAAGAATTATTACAAAATAAACAAATTATCTCATGATCTGTTTCTATAGTCACTAGTCTAATATGTAATTTGAGTTTATCTTCTGAACACCTTTCATCTAGTCATTTCAGAACAAGTTCAGGAATTAAAAATGAAAAGATAAAGAACAATCTATAGCTTTTTGTCCATAGCAAATCATACCTTTCCTTTAAAGATATATTCAAACGGACAGTTTTCAATACATATGCATTTGTGCACAGCCACCAATTTAAGTAACTATGAAACAAATGTTTAATAAAATATTATGTCTCTTGTTATTTTCATTCAAGTCGATTTTACGTCCCTTGCAAAGTTCAAGCCGGAAACAAGTGTAACAAGAAGCAATTTTAAAACAAATTTTTATGACTACCACATCTTTCTTCAGATGTGAATCCATTGCATTGGTTTTGTTAACATTTAAAAGATACACGTTATTTGGAATCGACAGTTCACAACTTTTAAAACTATAACCAAGAACACAAAGGTGATGTCTCAACAGTATTAATTTAATGGAAACATCATCAAGTTGAACTGGATTTTTTCCTTCTTCCTTTAGAAATTCACATTTTTAGAGTAAAATTTCATTTGATTCAAGATTTCTACAACTTAAACCAAAGGAGTATGAATTAAAGCGGCAACAGTATAGTTTACCGATGTTCAACTCTCGTAAATCGACGAGGAAGGGACAAATAATACAACAAACAGAAACCGAGGAGATAGCATGAACTCCAGGTGCGTCAACAGGGTAAACAAACTCATCAAAGGTAGTAGGCTTATAATGTTGTACGCCAGACGCGCGTTTCGTCTCCAAGTGACTTTCGAATCAAAAACGTTAGAAGGCCAAATACAGTATGGAGTTGAAGAGCATTGAGGGCCAAAAATTGCGAACGGTTTGGTCAAATACAGTTAAGTGTCTCCTGCTATGCATGCATGAGGATACGGAATTTTAATGAAATTCAGGGGGAAATTTTTTTGAGTCAAAATTGTTCTATTTTGTAATCACTTTGTCGTTACATGTACTTAGATTCGATGTGTATAGGCGCTTCAATAATTACTGGTCTTAAATTAACATCGGTATACTTTAATTGTATGATGGATTGTGTTGTTTTGAAAGATACACGTTAGTTGAAATTGACAGTTTGCAACTTTAAAATTAAGTCAAGCGTCATCAATATCTGTTATTATTAAAAAAAGGTTTGGGATTATGCATGAAAAATCTAAGTTTAATATTTTCAAAACCGGTAACAAGACATTTCGGCACCCAGACAAATCGGCACCCAAGTCCGAAGGCATTTCGGCATCCATTTTGGACATTTCGGGATCCGGACATTTCGGGACCAAGACAATTCGGCACCTCATTTTTTTAAATATATTTATTAGAAAAAATAAAAGAATTGTTGCAGTAATATTATAATATGTAGATAAGATATGCATTACAAAAAAATAATCATCATTTAATTAAATCCTAATTGATATAAATGTCTTGTATGTCGGTTAAAAGTATACTTTGCCGACCCAAAATAAAGCTTATTTATTATTATTATTTTATTATTATTTATTATATTTATTACATGTATCTATAAACTGTTGAATATAATTATAATAAATATAATAAATAGATATTATTCATATGCTACATGTGTTTTATTGATTTAGGATAATATCGGAATAGAACTATGCATTACATTAAAACTAGTACATGAATTGTGAAATCTATAAAATCAATGTTCATTTTATCAGGAAAAAGAATACACACAAATAAGACAGCTATCCAAATGACTAAGCTGCAGTACAGTCTTCACAAATAAATAACAAAAAGAATAAACCACTTCATAAGATACTTCTTCGAAGATACCATATATAATATTGACAATAATGTCATAAATAGTGCAGGAATCAAATCAGTAATTTGTAAAAACAGTCAAACATAATTGCTATATTAACACTAAACTTGTAAATTGAGTTCAGGCCCTTATACATATATCAGTGCCAGGTAATTTTAATTTTTGGTTCACTATATTTAGATCAAAGATAAAATAATTTATAAGGTGCCGATTTGTCTAGGTGCCGATTTGTCTGGGTGCCGAAGTGTCTTTCTCGGGTGCCGATTTGTCCGGATGCCGATTTGTCTGGGTACCGATCTGTCTAAAATTCTTCAAAACCTATAAAATTTAATATGTGTTTTGGCTCGCGCGTAACTGCAAAGATTTCACTATAGTTGAGGAAATGCTAATCAACGTTTATATTTAGATATTTAGAAAACAAGGTATATATAGAAAAAATATATGAGCCATACGGAGATGTGATATAATTTCCAATGAAACAACTATCCACCAGAGACCAAATGATGAAGATATAAACAACTTATGCCACTTTCATAGATGTCAAGAGTTGGTGCTGTTTGTTTTGTAAGAATATTCGAAATTGTAAGACCATACAGTTGTCTCTATCTTTAATGTTTGATATTCTATTCCAAATATATCTTTCTAGCAATTGTTCATATTTATTAATGAATGCATTGGTTCTTCTGTCTATTTTAGGTCACAGAAGTAACATCTTATCAATTTAATTGGGCCTTAAAAGGCTGAACACGGAAGTTGTAAAAAAAAGTTTCTCTGAAAAGGTCTTTGTTTTAATAATCTATGCACAAAACCTATACTGTCATTCATTAAATCATTTCTGTTCTACTGTGTTGCTATCTAATTGTGCAGCTTTAGTTAATAAATGATAACAAATATAAGGTAGATTGCGTAAAAGATAGTACTTCCCCTTTCTTTCGTCGGTGAATGAAAAAAGTTCTGCTTTAACAATCAAAACAGTTTGTCCAATGTCATCCTACAAAACTGATATGGACTTCTTAGAATATTTTGGAATTCAGGAAGAGGGCGTAATTGAACCTTGTTTGTAACAGACCTATGTTGTCGTTGAATGATGTAATTTCCATTTTGACATAATTTTCATCTTACGTGACTCGATGAGCCATCAATAAAACAGTGCACAATATCGGGTTTCTTGATGAACAATTATGAGTAAAGAAAATACCCCCGGTATTCTATTATATTGATTAATCTAAAAAAAAAAAACCTAAGACATAGCTCGCAGCAGGATAACACAAAGTATTATTATTTTCGTTGGGGCCAGTGGAATGTCACTATCAACTAAAGGATAATTACAATAAAAAAAAAATCGATTTCTTTTTATGTTTATATTTTAAAAGATTAAGTTCAGGTAGATGATTTTAAAAAAAAATCTTTAATTAACGGGAGAGAATGTTCATCTTAATTCCAGAATTATTGAAAATATCTATCAAATTGTGTTCCTTGGGTCCTTCTGAATAACTTTAAGTAATATGAATTCTATTAAAAACAAATCCAACGTTAATAGGGATGGGGATTGACTTGCTACATGTCCCTTCCTTATTATTTTTTTTTAATTTTGCCCCTTTAACAATTTTACTGCTATAACTAGGAGATTACCATTATACTGACATCTCCAAGGGCAATCAGTATACTGGAAGTTAACAGTAAACATATAAATTAGTAAGAAAGAAATAAAAGAAAGGGAATTGTAGCAAGTCTAGGATGGGGATTAAAATAAACTATACGTTTGATCCTAAATGTTAAATTTCAGGATAAAAAAAAAATTCGTACATTGTAGGAAAAATGAAATGTATTTGTACTCGCTACGAAACAGGAGAAAAGCTCGGCGAGCCTCGCTTTACTTTCTTATTCTAAAGCTCGTACAAATAAATTTCATACAATGTACGAATATTGTCTTTATATACTTTTTAAGACAAAAAGAATATTCATATAACTCTTGACATTAACAGTTCTTTACAGTTGTTTTATTTCCATGGGTAGTGCTAGTTTTCAGGAATGTAACATTTGCTTGTATTGATGACCAAATTTAATCTGTTTATTTTATATTTTTTTATTTTAAGTTGTAATATAAAATTAGGAGTGCTACATTCATTAACCGTTTTAATTATTTGTTAGTAATGACACTGTCAGTAGTGTAGTAACAAACAATTTAAAACTTAATCATAATATATCTTATTATAATTGAAGCGAGACAAATAATAATTCTCATTATAACTCTTTTTCCGGATGGTAAATTTGTACAAAAAATGAGCATGGTATAAATATCTGAACAGATGTCTGAGAAAGTTTGGTGCAGCTTTGTCAGTCGTGCGCTCTTGGCACTTTTAACTTTAATATTGACAGAAAATAAATATTTCTATTCAGTGTAAATTGTCCTAAAACATATTTCTACATAAGGCACGTGTCAAGACCGTCAATGGAGGGGATTAAAGGACAACTCATAAATAAATGATAATTTCTGATCGTTTATTTCTCTTTAAAGCAGGCTGTGTCGAATTTACTTCGTATTATAATAATGTAAATATAATTTTCTGAAAAAAAAACAATAAAATATGTTGGGTATTCAAGTCAAATAATATGTTCACATTTTACTTAACATCACAGAAGCTAATTCCAGATAATTGGTAGATGATATAAAGGTCATATCCTAAATTTTCGTAAGAAATGTATTTCATTTGTCCTGGAAAATATATAACATACATTTTGAAAGTGCGATTTTTTTACATTCCCGGTTTAGAAATATAAACCCTCAGCCGGGAATGTCACATCGTATACCCTGTCTGCAACATTAATTAGACTTAATTTACGGATTATTCCTGCCTAACTGTATTTTCAAGCACGAGGTATTTTTTTTTTGCATTCACCATGGAGTATAAATATTCAATATAATAAGAATCAGAATGTAAGAAGAGAAATATAAGAGTAAGAATTATAATAAAAGAATAAGAATATTCATTGTTCCAATTATGGCTCTGCATTTTTTACGTTAGATATTATTTTTTCCAATAAAGTATTTACCTTTTATATGCACTGTTTTTATTTAATGTATGCTATGTATTTTGACCACCAGACATATTGATAACCCAACATGACTTCGCATACTTGAAAAAGAATTTTTATTTGCAGTGAAATTAATTTTCCCATGTATGCAATATTTTTAATTATACTCTCAGGCATTCATTTAGTATTTGGTGTGTAAATAGCGTGATTTTTAATTAAAAATGTACTACGTTATCATGGCTGTAGAATAGATCACAATAAGAGAAAATTTCGTACTAACAATACAAATATTTCGGACCTAATTACTATTTCTAAAAATAACGACAGACAATATCTGTTAACCAAGCTCTGTTCTTTACCTGTCAATAAATTACATCAAATTTTGGAGGATTACAACA